GAGGTTCCTGGTCCAAAGGGGGCCTTAGTCTCACTCACCTTGACTATTGCATAACCCAAGAGAGGGGGCTCCAAACCTATCCTCTGCAAGTTGAAGCATCATGGTGGACATTTGAGCCCCATTTTCAGAAGATTCCAGTTATGGTTCATCCCTAAAGTGGCTCCTCAGGCAATCAGTGTGGATGATGAAAGAAATTTGTATTTACTGAGATGGAAAGACATTCATGATGTTTGGTTAAATGCCCATTTCACAGTAATGGAACTGAGGAGCAGAGATGGATTCTTTTGTTCAAGATGCCCAGCCTGTCTCCTCAGTGGAGGCCAAGTGGAAGCTAAGGATCTGATCCTCAGTGGAGGCCAAGTGGAAGCTAAGGATCTGATGATTTTCAAGCCACTGAGTCTGGGACTCAAACCATGATCAACTATGTGGAAGTCCAGTGATGTAACCATTACACCATCTGCTGATCCCTCAAAAGACTAATTTTTAAAGATAACTTTCAAAATATTTGTTATAATTTTGTTTATGACTCTATAACAATAGAGACGATATGGTTTTAAATAGTTTTGAGAAAATATTTACTTGTCAACTACTCAAACTATTGAAAAGCAAATACCCAGCACATAAATTCATACCTAAACCTTCCCAACTCAGTCCTGCCTACCAAGTATTCTGTGGTATACCATGTACTAGCAAAGATCAGTCTCTTTGTTCCTTTACAGTCGTCCTCAAGGTAATCCTCTGGTTGTGGCTGCTCTTTTGCAATCTCTACTGATTACAATGTGGGCTTGAAAAGTCCACGTTATTTTATGGTATGAATTCTTTCACATGACTTCTCTGTCCTCTCTGCCAGGCCTGTTTATGGTGCCAGGCCATCTTTCCAAGAACTTCTGTTGGCTTTCTTGAGATTTACCTTAGTTATAGCTTTAGAGATGACAATCCAGTCAAAGCCCTGTCCAATAACGAGTATTTCCAATTTATGATTCAATGTAACAGGTACTATTGAATTCATGCAAATAACCCTTCTGCCACAAAAGAAGAATACTCACAGATATTTTCCAATTCCAGAGGGGTCAGGAAGGAGACAAGTTTATGTTTCAATTTAAAAAAAAAAAATTAACAAATTGCTGAACCTATCAACAGCTGAAAAGAAGACAAAAATCCTTAAATCTGGAAAACAAAGCATAGAAGAAAATGAGTAATGTTCTAGTCAAAAGTCATAAAATTCTGTTTCACCAGTTAAGTCTCATGTAATTCCTCTCTCTTCTATTGAATGTACAGTGTGGTCCAATGTGGTCCAATATTTCCATTTAAATCCTGGAAGTTAACATTCGTTGTTATTACTGATATTTCTGGACTTAATCCCAAGCATTAAGTTGATCCATTTCTTGGTAGCTCTTTGTTCTCTTATTTCTGTCTGTGTGTCTAGTTTTCCTGGTAAAGCACTCCATTTCGAACTTCTTGAAGAGTCGGTCTGGTTTCAGTAAATTCTTTCAGGTTTTGTTTATCTGAGAATGTTTTTAACCTTTTCTTCCCATATGAAGTATTCGTGGTTGAAATTGCTTTTTGCTTAACACTTTGTATATTTTTTCCCATTCTTTCTTTGCTCGCATTGTTTCCGATGAGAGGTCTGCTGTTAGCCTGATGGGATAAACTTTGTAAGTAACTTGCCATTTTTCTCTTGCCAATTTTAGTATCTTGTCTTTGTGGATTTGGCCAATCTGGCGATGATGTGTCTTGGAGAAGATCTTCTTGGGTTGATTCTATTAGGGGTCCTTTGTATTTCTTGGGTCTGGATGTTTGAATGCTTCTCTAGGTTTAGAAAGTTTTCTTCCAAGATTTCATGGACTAGATTATTAATGCCCTTATGAGTTTCTTCACCTTCTGGGATACTGATTATCCAGATGTTGGGGTGTTTAATGGTATCTAGTATTTCTCATATATTATTCCCATTTTTGGGGTTATTTTCTCAGTCCTTTTGGTGATTTTTTTCTAGGTCAGAGGTTTAGTCTTCAACATCTGAGATTAGATCTTCTGCGTGGCCTAATCCACTTTTAATATATATATATATATATTTTTTTTTTGAAGAGGTTTTTACTATAGGGTGCGTGTGCTAGCCAGATAGACAGAGAGAGACAGAGAGATAGCAAGCGAGAAATCACCCTCCAGCGGGGATGGCCACGCTGCAATCCCTTCTCCTCCATTCTCCTCTCGGGATCTTGGGCAAGCACACACACGCACCCGGTGTGAGTTTTAAGCCACCGGGTCTGGGACATGAACTGCAGTCGACTACATGGGAGTCCAGCGACATAGCCATTATGCTAACTGCTGATCCCACAAGGGAGGTTTTGATTTCCTGTATTATAGCCTTCATCTCTAATAGCTCCATTTGATTCTTTTTTATGGTGTATATTTCTTCTTTCAGATTGTGGAAGAACTTCTTCACCTTCTAGAACTCATCTCTTTTTTCTTGCACCTTCTGAAGTTAATTGTCTCTCACCTCTAGCATATTATTTAGCTTAGTCACTGTGAATATTCTGAATTCTTTTTTTCTTTTTCTTTTTTTGTAGAGGTTTTTGCTATAGGGCATGTGCACTTTCTCCTCTCTGGATCTTGGGCATGCACACACACGTGCCTGGCGTGAGTTTAAGCCCACCAGGTCTGGGACTCGAACCACGGTCGACTACGTAGGAGTTCAGCGACATAGCCATTACGCCAACCGCTGGTCCCAATATTCTGAATTCTTTTTTTTTTTTTTTTTGAGAGGTTTTTCGCTATAGGGAGCGTGCGCTCGCCAGACAGACAGAGAGAGACATAGAGACAGAAAGCGATAAATCACCCCCCAGGGGGGATGGTCACGCCACAATCCCTTCTCTTCCATTCTCCTCTCGGGATCTTGGGCACGCACGCACACGCGCCCGGTGTGAGTTTTAAGCCACTGGGTCCGGGACGTGAACCACGGTCGACTACGTGGGAGTCCAGCGACATAGCCATTACGCTAACTGCTGGTTCCCAATATTCTGAATTCTTTATCAGACATTTCCATGAGTTCCATTGTACTGTCCATGGATGATGAAGGATTGTTCTTTCCCCTTGGGGGAGAGAGATTTTCTTGGTTTCTCATATTTCTTGTGCCTCTGTAGTGGTTTCTGGTCATCTGATGGATTACACATTTCTTCCTAATTTCTTGGAGTTAATTCTGAGCATTTAGAAGTGTGTGGGAGGAGGCAATCCACAATCTCTCTGCAGTTCCTTTTCCCCGATTCTCACCAAGCAACTGGCACATTTGACATTGGAACTGTATATTACAAAGGCCTCATAGTTTCTAGGGAATAGGTGCACCTCAGCTGAGCTGCAAGGTTTCAACTGAGAGTTCAGAGGCGTGTGGGAGGTGAGCCACACTCTGCAGCTCCATCCTTCTCTCTGCTGCTCACTCCACAGTCTCTCTTCTCTGAATCTTAGTCACTTGGTGGGGTGAATTCACTTTTGGCTAATTGCTTAGAGAAGGTTTCTGCAGCTGTAAGATCATGTGCTTCCCTTTGCTTTAAGGTACTTCTGTGACAATTTCTCTCCTCTACTGCGTTTTGCAATATGGTATCCCCAGAAAGAGATTTTGAGTTCAGATTTATAAAGAGGAGCTTCTCCCTTCAGGCAAGAGGTACAGTAAGGGTTGAGGATTTCTATGACCCTCTAAGTAATTAGATGTTTGGCTACTGTGCACCTAGGCCTGTCTAGACACTCAGTGTGTGGAGGCAGGACAGCAGAGTGAGAAAGTCAGGTAAAAAAGGAAAAGGAAAAGAAAAAAAAAAAAGGGAAAAAGAACCAGAGAAAAAAATGAAAAGACAAAAAAATAATTTGTTTTTAAAATGTAAGAACTGAAAAGCACATGGCATGCTTGCATGCCATGGTGAATACGGCAGGACCCACCTCAGATTTAAAATGGCTTCTGAAATTAGCAAGAGAAAGACGAGGCCAGAGGTAAGAAAAAGTGTTTTAAAAAATTTAAAAAAAGGTAAAAATTTAAAGAGAGAGAGAGAGACAGACAGACAGACAGACAAAGACAGAGAAAGAACAGAGGTTGCCCTAACTCTCTGAGTGTTTCTGGGGCCTGGAAGATGGGGTTTAGAGCAGAGCCTCAGTTGCCTTGGTCCCTCAAGGACACCAGTTTTTAAAGAAACAGACTGAGCTGAAGCTTGGGACTCAGCTGGTGATAGAACTCCTAGGGAGGAAGAATAATTAGAGATAACATTGAAAGGAGCTCTGTGGGCAGGGGCTGCTGAAGAGACAGCATCAACTGGTCCTGGCCGGGTCCCTCCACCATCTTACCAGCCAGAAGCGAAGGCCCCCAAAGGAGGCAGAGGCTGGGTCCTAGTCCCAGTGGTGCCTCCGACAGACCGTGTGGCTTAGATGAGTCCTTTCTTCTCTCTGGGCTTCTGTTTCCTCATCGAAGCCAGCCAAGTGTCAGGTTAAGGTTGCCAAAGAAAATACGGGATGCTTAGTTTAATATGAGTTTCAGGTAAGTAATAAGTATATCTATTTTTAGTGTAAGCATATCCCTTATAATATTTAGGACACACTTATACTAAAAATTATTTCTTGTTTACCCAATATTCAAATTTAACTGGAAATCTTGGATTTTTTGCTTTTTAAATAGGTTAGCACTACGTTGGGTTAAATAATTAGGAGGGAGAGCAGGGGGATAAAGAGAGGGCTGAGTGGAAGCATCTGACTGGACCCCCATGGGGACGAGGTGGGAAAAGGGGAGCGAGGGACAAAGGGTTCGCAGTTAGCAAGGCCCTGCCTGCTGTCTCCCTCCACCAGCACATGCTGGGCATGGTGGGCCTCAGGGCAGTGCTGGCTTCTGGCAACGCCATGCCGGTCTTGGAAAGTTCCACAGTGTGGGGGGAGGTGGGGGCCATGGGGGCTCAGAACCGGTGCGGTTCCTCTCCCTCCCCCACTTCTCCACAAAGTGGTATTTGGTGTCTGTGGTAAGCCCAGTGACAAGGGGAGGTGGCTTACAAAAGGAGCAGGGCCTGCCTGCTTCCATAGGAGACTGTGGAGGCATCTCTGAAGCTGCCCCACCATGGCTAGCCGGACCTTGCTGTTCCTTGCCGCAGTGCTCCTGAACCCCTCAGGTGAGGACTGCCCTCAGTGTGGGTCCTGACAGCTCCTTCTGGCCTGCTTTCTGGGCTTGCTGGACCCAGAGGTGTGCTGCAGACCCTCAGACACCAAGGCCCTCCCCAGCCGGCTCTCACATCTGGAGGCTAGGCCCCTCTGCAGAGCTGGCTCAGCCTCCACAGCAGGCCCAGCCTATCCGGGCCTGGCTGATGCGAGACTGGCCTTGGGGAACAAGGGAGCCCTGGCCTGGGTCCTGGTCCCATTTCCACGGGTCTGGGTCCCCTTTCCTTCCTGGCCTCTGAGTCCTGGTTGGCGCCACCAGCTGGCCACCTCCCTCTTTGGTGGGTCTGTGTCTTTGGCGTGTGCTCTGGTGAGGGTCATGACAGAGCTTGTGAGACCCTGGGCTCAGGACACTGCCTGCTCCCCACACCCAGTCCCCTCCCAGCCCCTGGGACATTGAGAGCCCCAAATCCGATTGGATCTGAAGCTCAGCTGAAGGAAAGGACACTTCAGGAAGAGAGTGCAGAACTGGCTGGGCCACCTGGAAGGAAAGAGAGAAAGGAAGAAAATCTCTAGAGAGGAGAGAGGGGGTGTTTCCTTTGAGACAAACTGACACCCCCAAGACTTCGTGTGTGTGTGTGTGTGTGTGTGTGTGTGTGTGTGTGTGCTGGGGCGGGGGGGTCTGGGTCTCTCCCCTAGAAGAAGCCTGAGAACACAGCACTCCTTTGTGCTGAGAGTGGGTCAGAACAGCTCCAGGCAGAACAAGAGGAGAGGCCTGCTCCCTTCCCACAGGCCCACCCTGGCCTGGGCCCTGGGCCCCTCCCCACTCACCCAGGAGCAGGACTGACCTTTACCCTCCATGTGCTGAAGAGGGGATGCCATCCCATCTGTTCCCCAGGTCTGGCCTTCTCTGGTGTGGGCCCAGAGCACCATGACCCGGCGACAGCCCACTGGTGTGAGGGTGAGCAGTTGCGCCAGGACCTGGCCCAGGAGCGCCCTCAGGTATGCGGGCTCCCTGCCCACCTTCCTCAGCCCTCCGCTTTCTCTCCTCCCTGGGTGGCTCCGAGCACAGGGCTGGAGGTCTCTGCCAGGGAGGGAGGGAGGTGGCTTGGAGCGGAGCTGCTAGATTTGGCCAGCTCCCGCCTGGCCAGGGTCGCTGCAGCAGTCTGGCTGGACCCACCCGAGAGGCTCCTCTGGGTCTCACTCTCCGAGGAGCCTGCTGATGGAGTGCCCAGGTGGGCAGGCTCCCCTGGTAGGCTGGTTCTGGCCCTCGGGGACCTGCCTTCAGGTCAAAGAGCTCGGCGGTGATCTTGCCGCCCCCGGAGTGTCTGAGAGACACCTAAAGGCGCTTCGTTTCCTGACAGGGTGACCTGTTTGCTCAGAGGAAGGAGCTGAGCTGGGGCTGCAAGCCCTGTCAGAAGATCATGCAGAAGTTGGAGGACATGGTGGGGGAACAGCCTAACGAGGTGAGTCCAACAGCTGTGGGACCCCGTGCCTGCTGGCCAGTGAGGGTGAGGGTGGGGTGCCCTCTGACCAGGCAGGGCCTGGGGCGCTAGCGTGGCTACCCCAGGGGAGGGCCCTTGACTGGGGATCTGTGGGCTCCTCACGTGTCTGTGGGGGACATAAGAGAATCTGCAAAACTGTGACTCTGAGAGTGAATAGGTGGAAGGGTGGCGTGGACAAGGTTTCCGTGAAAATTCTCAAAGGGAAGTTAGGCGCCCTTCCCCTGGAGCCTAACGTTTGTGTCCAGGGCAGGGCTTTGGTAGGCTGGTTCCAGAGGGGGCCTGGGCCCACCACACTAAATCCCAGGTCTGCCACTTCTAAGCTGCATGGCCTTGAGCAAGGCACTTCCACTTCCGGAGCCTCGGTTTTCTCATCCGTAGCATGGGGTGCATAATAAATAGCCCCTACCTTGCTAAGCCTTCTCAAAGAGCCGGAGGGTGTAATGTGTTGGACTCCACCACTGAGTGAATTCTTAACAAATGACTGTGCTCCTACAAGTGGAGTATTCCTACTCCCAAATCCAGAATGCTCCAAAATCTGAAACGTGTTGAGTGCCACCTCGACGCCATGTGTGGGAAATTCCACATGTGACTTCATGCGATGAGTCCCAGTCAAATGCAAAAATATCATACAATCACCTCATGCGGTGTGTAGGTGTATGCGAAACAATCCATCCCCAGGATGACTCGTTAGACAAATATTCCAAAACCCGAAAAACGTCCCGAATCTGAAACTCTTCTGGCCCTAAGCATTTTGGATAAGGGATACTCAATCTGCTCCAAGAAATACTGCTTCACCCCCTTCCTGTCTTCTGCACTCCGGCCTGGTCAGTGTCTTGACACTGCAGGGTCTGCCCTCAGCCTGGACACTCCGCTTTATCCTTCTCCACTGGGATGGCAGTAGAAGGTACTTCAAGATCAAATGAGTGCAGGGTCCAAGTGCTGACCCCCTTAGACCCTCACAGTTCTGCCCCATTGTTGGATCCCCAGCTGGGTCCTGAACCCTTGGATTCTGCATGGACAGAGTCTCTAATGTGGGTCTGGCAGCCGTCACATCATTCACAGAGAAGGTAGGGGCAGGTAGACAGGAGCTGAGACCTCAGCAGGGACAGTTGTCCTTCTTTCAAGAGCCCCTGACTGGCCAGGCTTGGGCCAGGGCCTTGGGGACTGGGAGCAGGGGCTCGAACCCTGCCTTTGCAGTCTCTGGTCCCGTGGCCACCTGGCACTGACTCAGCACGCCCAGCCAGAGCTGCCAGGGCCCAGGGGTGGCAGAGCGGGGCAGGGCTCACCTGATTGTCACATCCCACCGCGGTGCTGCTGCTGCAGGAAACCATCGCCCAGGCTGCTTCCAAGGTGTGTGGCAAGATGGGGCTGCTGAGAGGCATCTGTAAGAGGATCATGAGGACATTTCTGCGTCTCATTAGCCGGGACATCATGGCCGGCAAAAGCGCCCAGGAGGTCTGCGTGGACCTCAAGATATGCAAACCTGCAGGTAGGTGCAGGGGTGACAGCTGAGATGCTCTCCTGAGGGACTAGAATTGCACACCCCCCCACCCCCCGCCAAAGTCTCTCACGGAAAACTTAGGACCAGCTGGATCCACATGGCCAAGTGTGTGACTCGAGTCCCAGACATGGTGGAAAACCACTCGGGGAACGTGTGCTCGTGTGCCCAAATCCCCAGAGGAGAATGGAGGAGCAGCGATTGTGCTGTCTTCTCTCTCTCTCTCTCTGTTGTCCGTCTGGCAAGTACACGCACCTTATAGCAAATTGAAAAAACCAAACCCAACAACTGAATGAGCAGCCCCAGGAGCCCCTCCAAGCTCCCTGCTCATGGTACGCTTCGACCCCAGCGTTCGACCCAGGAAAACGTGAGGTGCTGGGCAGATGCGCTGTAGCCAGAGGTGTTGGGGTGATCTTGATCAAGGGCATGGACTTTAGAGGCAGCCTGGGGGTAACATCTCCATCTCTCCAAAGCTGTGTGACCTTGGGCAAGTCCCTTGGCCTCTCTGAGCTGCAGTTTCCTCGTCTGTGAATGGGGGACAGTCATCCTGGTTTCTGAGACAGGAATGAGCATCAGAGGAGATCGTCATATATAAACAGCTGACACTCAGGAAATGTTCTCAGACGTGGGATAGTCAGGATTTATCAGAGCCCTGAACCCCCATCTTCCAGCCCAGCACAGGTTCCTAGGGACAGGAGCTAGGGCCACGTCCTCCTCGACACTGGGACCCTGAGGGCTAGGACGGAGACTCCTGCTGGGCAGGGTTCCTCAGGGCCTCTTCCCTCCACGGCTGCCCAGCCTGGGCCCTGAGAGAACAGGCCATGGCTGTGGGAGGTGGGGCGGGGCCAGGCCTCCGGGACGGGCCTCAGGGACGGGCCTCTGGGACGGGCTCTGGCAGCTGGTCGGGCCCTCGCCCCTGGCGGGTGCTCTGGGGCTTTCCACCAGCAGATCTGGAGCGAGCCGATAGTGCCAGGTCACCCGCTCCCTGTGGTCGGGACCCGTGGCTTTTCTCCCCCAAGTTCTCAAGCTGCTCTGGCTCCTGCCTCCGGGATGTGACTCTGGGTATGTTCGGCAGGGCCAGGCGGCCGGAGTCCCAGAGCACCTGCCCACAGCTGGCTCTTCTCTCCACTCCAGGTCCCAGGCGAGGCTTCTGACCATCCTGACGAAGAAGTGCAGAGGGCTGGCTTCTGTCCTCAGAGCCTGGGAACCTCGCCACCTCCGCAGGCTCCTCCCTTCTAGCTCAAGTCTCCCCTCAGCCTTCGTCCCCCACTCCCTTCCACTGCCCCCTCTGGAGAATAAAGTGTCAGGTGACGTGCCACACGGTTTCGCCTCCTTTGGTGGACTTGAGCAGTAGGGCCATGCTGGAGTGAGTCGTGCATTCATTCAGTGAACGACCCCACGTGTTCCACATACTGTTCTAGATGCCAGCGACTTAGGCCGAACACCTCTCATCACGAAACACTTCTGAAGTGCTAACTAGAGCTGTGAGTTGTTCCAACAGGCTGGGGTGCACAGGGACTGTGCCCCCAGGAGCTCTCAGACCGGGTGGGGAGAGCAGCCAGGTGAGAGTTCAAGTTCTTCTGGTCCTGCTTCTCTAAGCAGGAGGCTTTCTTCTGCTGTTCTGGGGGAACAGAAGTCTTAGCTCATTCTGACTTAAAGAAAAAGGAATTTATTGGGGACCAGCACTTGGCGTCATGGCTACATTGCTGGACTCCCATGTAGTCGACTATGGTTCGAGTCCCAGACCGGTGTGCGTGTGTGCCCAAGATTCCGAGGAGAATGGAGAAGGGATTGTGGCATGGCCATCCCCCTGAGGGGTAACTTCTTGCTTTCTGTCTCTCTGTCTCTCTGTCTTTCTGGCGAGCGCATGTGCCCTATAGAAAAGGCTCTCCAAAAAAAAAAAAAAAAAAAAAGAAATTTATCGGTTCAAATAAGTAACCAGCTCACAGACAGCGTCAGGCACAGAACGATCCAGGGATGTGTGTCACCAGAGCCCTCGTTCCGCTTCTCTTCTCTGTACTTCTCGGCTCTTTCCCCTCTGTATATTGAAATGGCCTCCGTCGAGCTTCCTTCTCGGCAGGAGAAAAGGCTTCATCAGGCCCAGAGGGTACATCTTCACAGAACAGATTCAGAGGCGGAGAGAGCTCCGTCGGCAGCTCCCCTGGAACACAGGACACTTCTTTCCCAAGTATTTCCTGGGTCCTCACTGGCCACTTATCCTGGGCCAAGCGTCCACCCTCAACCAAGCACTGTGTCTAGGGGGATAGGATACTTTGACTGGCCCAAGCTCATTCCAGGCATGTCTCTGCGGCTGCGGTGGCCTGATGACTCGGTTGTCAAAATAGATGTAAAAGTCGGGACATCTGTTGGTGGGAGAGAAGAAACAGATACTGTCCCTCAAAGGACAGCGGTGTCTAGGCGTTCAGTCAAAGAAGTCGCTCAAAGGGACTCCATGGCCAAATCTGACACAATCTGAGTATCAAAATAGCAGGTTGACAATAGGCGATTTGATTGAGTAGATTAGAATCCATGGGTTCACATAGAGATAAATAATAAACAAATACATGAATAAGGGAAAAGTGCTACCTTATAATAGCATGCCAACCAACAAATGTAGACACAGTAGCAAAACAGACCCTCACCAAAGACTTACTAATTTGATATCAATCAATAAATTCCAATTCACCTGACCGTGCAAAAACCCAGCAAACGGTGTTGAATGGTAACATCACCACCAAGGGGTCAAGCCAGCACCATGAGTCTGTGATCCAGGCTCTGACAGGCACTGTACTCTGCTGTTCTGTGGTTCCTGCCAGAATGCAGACGTCACCAGGAAACAGATAAACTGAAAGCAGCGTGTTACCAAGTAGCTGGCCTGTACTCTGTAGACATGCCAAGGTCACAAAAGACAAGAAAGGATGGAAGAGCTGTTCTAGATAGGAGGAAACTAAACAGACATGACAAGTGGGCCAGCAGTTGCTGGACTGCGACATGATTGACCACAGTTCGAGTCCCATACCTGGCAATTCACTTTCTCACTTTCCCCCTCTCTCTTTCTCTGGTGATTGTACATGCCCATAGCAAATTAAATAATAAAAATCATTTTTAAAAATTAAAAAAATAATTATAAAACAACAACAAAACAATGACAACTAATTGGAACTAATGATTCAGATTTGCATCTGGCCTTTTCCGGGACATTACTGGAGCCGTCTATGAAATACAACTGAAGTTTGTGATGATAATATCCTGTCAGTGTTCACGTCACGGTCTGCTGGTTATGTATGGACATGCCCTTGTTCATACACATACATTAAATTATTAAAAGGGTAATAGGTCATTAGGTCTGCAATGTATTGCCAATAGTTCAGAAAAGAATGATAAGATGGGCCAAGTCTATGGCACAGTGATAATGTAGTGCTCAGGAGAAAACAGGTCTTGGTTGATGACCACAGTTCAAGTCCCCGGCCTGGTCAGCTGGGGCATGCATGCAAGTGCCCAAGTCCTGACGGAAGGGGATTAAGTTGTGACCAGACCCTGTGGAGGGGATCTTTCTCTCTTGTTCTCTCTCTGTCTCTCTCGTGTGTGCGCATATGGTCTACCATCAATAAAGAAAACATTGAAAATTTTAAAAATGATAAGTGCTTTTTAAAAAGAATATGATAAGGCATATACCACCTCCATGGGGTAAAATATTAACAGTGGAGGATCTGATTCAAGGGTAAACAGGGGCACTTCTAGTAAACTTGCAACTTTCCTCTAAATGTGTAACTATTTCCAAGCAAACGTAAATGAGCTGTAGCATTGCGATCCTAGCATATGGGTGGGTGGGTGGTGGTGACATTTCCTGAGATGGGGAGAACATTGCGATGAGTGGGTCTGGAGAGTCTGAGCGGGGGAGTGCTGTGGCGTGTGAAGATGATCCTGGAGGCAGGCAAGTCGAGGTGCTAAAGAAAGACATCCGAAGACTGGAACTGGACGAGACCACCAGGGACTGAGTGCAGAAGGGTAAGACCAGCACTGAGGATGACAGGCCCAGGCTGGTCAATGTGTGGAGGCCTGGTGGAGGAGGGGGAGCCCACAAAGAAGACTAGAAAAGAGGAGGCGGGGTGTCAGAAAGAAAAATCCCGCATGGTGTTATGGAGCTCAGAGGAGGATATGCATCAAGCAGGAAGGAGTGGCTGACCACATCCAGTGCTCCTCTCAGCAGGTCAGGGAAGCAGAGCACAGAGGGCTGACCCCTGCTGTAGGGAGTCTAGTCATCTTGGTGGCCTTGGTGAGGGCTGTTCCAGTGGCTAGGAGGGGACAACACCCCTTCAGGGTAGACGGAGAGGATGTGATATTTGTCGGTGTTAGCAGCTCTGTTAAGGGGTTTGCTCTGAAGGGTTGGAGAGAACTGGGACAGAACCGGAGACCACGAGACCACGTGGAGCTGAAGGTAGGGTCTGTAATTTAGATGTTTGCATGCTGATGGGATGGCCCAGGAGAGGGGAAGGCTGACGACCCAGGACAGGACCAGGAGATTTAAATCCCCTATTACTAGCACTTTCTTTCTTTTGTTTGCTATAGGGCACATGCATGGCAGAGAGAGAGAGAGAGGGAGAGAGAGAGAGAGAGAGAAAGGAAAGTGAGAAAGCATCAGGGGAGATAGCTGCATCACAATCCCTTCTTCTTCATTTTTTTCTTGAAATTTTGGGCATGCACGCACACATGCCCAGTGTTTTTCAAGTCACTGGGTCCAGAACTTGAACTGTGCATTCAGCTTTGTAAGATCTAGCTGCCTTAACCACCATACCGACCGCTGGCCCCTTCTTTATTTTTTAATTGTCAGTGAGCATACGCACTTTCCAGAGAGATAAACAGAGAAAGAGAGAAGGAGAAAGTATCCCCACAATGGGATGTGGTCTCAACACAACATTTTCCCTTGATTTCTCCATTCATCAGGATTTGGGGCATGCATGTATACACGCCTGTGTTGTTTTTCAAACCTCTGGGGCTGGATTCAAAAGGCAAATGGCCATGTAGGATCTGGTTCTCTAAGCATGAGGCTTAACTACTGGGCTATGGGGCTGGCCTTAGATTTTCTCAACTGTTTGTTTATTTGTTCTATGTACTCAGGTGAATTTTCAGAAGATTTATTTATTTATTTTAGGTTTTGACCACAGGGCATGTGAACTCACTGGAGAGGAGAGAGACAGAGAGAGGGAAAGTGAGAAGTCATCCGCTGGGGTGGGTGGGGGGAATGACCACATCGTGGCCCCTTCTCCTCTATTCTCCTCTTGGAATTTTAGGCACTCATGCACATGTGCCCAGTGATTTTCAAGTCCCTGGGTCTGGGACTTGAACCTTAGTCGACCATATGGGAATCCAGTCACAGAAGATTTAAATAGTTGCTTTAAAAATAATTTTCAGCAGTTTCTCAGATCTGTCGAGCTCATCACACTGTTATGCCAGGAGTAGAAGTTCCTTGAATGTTTTTTTCCCTCACGAGTGTAAGTATAGGTAAATGAGAAAAGAGAGGTCATGCAGTGCCAATGAATTGTTTAGCAGTTAGTTGCTTGTTTCTTGATGGATGCCATGACAGGGTTGGGAAGGCAGTGCTCACAGGATGAAAACAAAAACAAAACAACAGCTTGAGACCAGTTACATTTAGCAGAGCTTAATTAGGCAAAGAACAATTTGCAAATTAAACAGACCTCAGATGCAGGGTAAGGTCAAAGGACTCAGGGGCTGCAACATGGTTGAACCACATGTATGGAGAGAAAAAAGGAAGTGATGTGAAGAAAACAGAAGTGGGTTACAGAGACAGCTCAGTTAGTTACAGTGTGGCGTTTGCCTCATTTGAAAATGGTTTAGGGTTGGCCACAATTTGTTGAGCTCTGCTGCTGCAATTGGCTGAAACTCAGCTTTTTGCTATTAAACTTAAGTTAGGGTTTCAGTTAGTCGAAGTACCGAGGACAGAAGTCTGACTGCTTTTTCCTATTTCCAAAATCCCTTCCAGAGAGCCTGAGGTAGGTCACACCCACAAACATTGATAGGCCATTTTGGCTCATTTGATAACAGGACTCTTCCTACACTCTGTCCCTGGTAGAGTATCTTTGTGTTGGGTGAGTCGCGCCCACGAACATTAAGAGACCATTTTAGCTCACTGATAACAGACAGCATTCTTCCTACATCCTGTCCTTGGGACAGTATCTTGTGATGTACACAAGCCTCCTTATCTCTGTTACAGTTCACACTTTGCGGATGCCTTCCCAAAACACAGACCTTCCTTTCCAATCACCCACTTAAGAATTGTAAAACCCACCTACGGCCTACAAATCCCCACTTTCAAATGTCC